GTTAGGAAACTATAAAAAGCAAGAGAATTAGAACACTTGTTTTAAACACTAGCAATGTTTAGGAAATTGCCCGAATAGAGAGTTCATCAAAACTGTCCCATAAGCTAGTATGCTGTCATAAACGGGTAGTGGAGTGGGTATCAGGAGAACTACTCATGTTTATATAGTGCTTTAAGGTCTGCAAAGTGATTTTCCCACAAGTAGGCAGTGCAAGCATTATCCTCATTTTTCAAATGAGTCTCAGAAAGATTAACTGATTTGCACAGGGTCACAAAATTATTAAGTGTCCAAGCCAAAATCTGAACTCATCTCTCTGTGAGGATATCCATTAAAACTAGAATGGACTCTAGTTTTCTAGTCTAGAACAATCCCTGATTTCACAGAGGAGTAAATAGACTATTCAGTAGAAAATATTTTCTGGTCTTTCACTGGAAAACAGGTCCAAATGGGAGTTCTTGTCAGAATATCTCAGACTCAAAGTTACGTTCAAATCTGAGCAATGAATATTGATTAGATCTCACCAATTAGGGCCTAGAGAACAGTATTGGCAACTGGGTTCAAAAGACTCAAATAGAATCTCTGACTTTTCAAGCACCAGTTGCCAACACTGAGCAGAAGACAAAGTTCAAATCATTTCAAATGAACAAATACTCATTAAGTGCTTAATACCTCCAAGACATTGTGCTAGATGCAAGGGATGCAAAGATAGATATGACAAGAGTCTGGGTTCTAATTCCAGCTTTGCTACCAATTTTCTGTGTGACCCTGGGTCAAGTAACTTCTCTCCTCCAGACTTATTTCCTCATCTTCTAAAACGAGGGGGTTGAACAGATGATTTCGAAAGTCTCTTTCATCTCTTAAAGGACCCCTCGCCCATCTCCTAGTTGGTGACTACCTCTCTTGGATCACTATTTCAAAACAGTTCCAACCACCTTGCTACTCCCACTCTCCCATTCAGGGACCAACAATCTCCTTCCAATCAAGTTTGCCATTGTTTCTGGGTGGGGTGTGCCAATCTACACCCCCATGGCCCCACTCATCATCCCACAACTTTTGGAACCAAAGTGTTCCACCCTGTCTACCACTCCGCTGTGAGACTTATCTCCTCAATTAGAATGTAAACTTGAGGACAAAGACTATCTTTACATATTAACATCTTCAGAATTTAGCACAACTTGGCAAATAATGAGCATTTAATAAATGATCATCCAACCATCCAATTTATAGCCATCAAAAGTTCTGAAATCATCACCTTGTACAGTTTTCAACAGTACAGTTGAGGCAGTAATACTTTGAGCTTATTTATTTTTATAACAACCCTATAAGGGAAGTGTATGTTTGAGGGAGGAGGAGCAGAAGAGAAAATTATGTATGAAAAGGAAGGTTATACTCATTTTACAGAGAAAGCTGAAGCAAAAAGGTGATATGGATCTCAAGTTAAGATTATACATTAACGTGGTGGTGGTGGTGGAATTAGAAACTTGACTTCTAATCCAGTGCTCTTGGCACTAGACCAGAACTGTCTCTTAAACCCAGTTCTACTAACACTAATATCAACTGCCTTATTCCCAGATTTGTAGAAGTCTATGCTATCTGGGTCATGGTGAATACAGTTTATAGTTCTCACACGCTTAAAAATAAAACAAAATAACCCAGTCCTTTTGGCTTCAATTTGAGAATTGCCCCCTTCTGAGGCCAAATGCAGTCTTTAATCAGGCTCAATCCAAGTAGTTGCAGGTTCAACTGTGTTGATCTTATTGGTAAATTCTCCAAAGAAAGAGAGTCCGGGGAACTTGTTCAGGCCCTTCCTTTAGTACTTTGAGAGAACTCAGTCCCAATCCAAGGTACCCTCCATCCTGGTAAACAAGGTCAAGCCCTGTGCTAACCAATCACTGGTGGATTTATTCAGGGATCTCTAAACTGCCTCCCAAAACAGAGGGAGCTTGAGGAGGCCTGTGTACTACAAACAGGACACTCCATTCTCCATTACTCATCTAAGTCCAGCACAGCCTTGCTAATGCCCACTGGCAGTCACTGAATAAGAGGAGGTGGGGTGAAAACACAGCCAAATGAAGCAGGCAGGAGCTGGGCTCCCTTAGACTTCAATGACATAACCATGAGCAATTCCTAACTTACTCTCTTCCTAAGCCTCAGTTTTCTAGCATATAAAGTTGTATTGGATTCACCTTCTGTCCCAAATACTGATTCTGTGGCCCACTATTCCAGAATGATTTATGTTTCAGAAATGAATCTCACACAATTCTGAGCAATTCTTATTTTTGAATATTCCTAATTGCCTATTCAAACGAGACTTCGCTTTTTGCCTTCTCCTTTCTCAGAGTGAAGTTCTTATCTTGCACGAATAACAGTGATCCTAGTCCTGTGAATAACTTGTTATTTAAAAGATATTAAACAGGGGCAGCTAGGTGGCACAGTGGAAAGAGCACCAGCCCTAAAATCAGGAGAACCTGAGTTCAAATCCAGCCTCAGACCAAACACCTGACACCCCAAAAAAGAAAAGATATTAAACAACACACATAGAAGTGTCTAGGAAGCTCAGGTCCTTTCCCAACTTTTCTATTCCCATCAGTATTTACATATGTTTGCCCTTTACCCAGAACTTTATGGTCAAATGTTGCCTGGTATAAAACTGGAATGAGAGCATGGGTGATATAGCTACTCACTCACACCTGAACATAAGCACTGTTGTGCCAACACCAGTCTGATCATCCTATCACACCATCCCCTGTTCCCTAGTCCTGTGGACAATGCACAGCTGTCTTAAAACAATCCTTATGACAATGTCCCAAATAAACAAAAAATAGAAAAATCTCTTGACTTTTATCCTATTCAGTTTTCAAAATAATCAACTAGCCATTCCAACAGAATAATATCAATAGACAGAATCATAAAATCTCAGCCTTAGAAGGGACTTCAGAGGCTAGGTAGTTCATACTATATTTTGACAACATCCCCAACAAATGATCATTTCAGTTTCATGTAAAGGCCTTTAGTGAAGGATCTGCTATTAACATTCCATGAGGAAAACCTATAGATCCTATAGACTGGAGACTTACTTACTATCTTTTTTTTTTTGGAGAGGCAATTGGGGTTAAGTGACTTGCCCAGGGTCACACAGTTAGTGTCAAGTATCTGGTCTGAGACCGGATTTGAACTCAGGTCCTCCTGACTCCAGGGCCGGTGCTCTATCCACTGTGCCACCTAGCTGCCCCCTAACTATCTTTTCAAAGGGGAAACAGAGATCTGAGTGTTGTAACTTCAGATTTGAGTTTCTGTAACCTAGCACTAGAAGAAAAACTCGAGCAATGTATACAACTTAGCAAGTAAGAGACCTTCCCAAGAATAAGATGAGTATTTTCTTTTTCAGCACAACTTTCCTTATTCTAACTCCAAAAGAACCCAAAGTCCTTAACCTCAGCAATGTTCTTCTCCCATCCTTCTAGACTTTCATCACTCAATTTTTATCTGATGGCTTCCTCCTCTGAAAGTGTCACCAATGTGGGCTCTATGAACAGCACAGTAATCAGATTTCATAGAAACAGTCTCCTTGCTATAAACCTTTCACCCCTCTGCATCAGCATACCCTTCCCCACACACATCAAAGGTTACAATTCTCTTTCCAGGGGCCTTGAAACAACATCACATAACATCAGTGGCAGAAACTATTAATTGGGTTAGAGTGCTTTGAAATTTTTAAGTATGTGCATACATGTACAAAGAAACCAATAAAATTAAGCAACATTTAAAAAATGAGTTAAATAAGCTACATTGCTGAGAATAGAGGTACAGAGCTTATTAACCCCTATTTGCACATTCTGATGGTTGAAAGGCTAGAAGTCTAATGACTGAATTATCACCCTAATGCCTTTTGCTGGCTGGTAATAATCCTGGGGCAACAGCTGCTCCAGGGTTTTTGACTGGTTTACCCCTAATTGCATCAAGATTAAGGAAGTTGTAGAGGGAGCTTTTCCATAGACCTCTCTATAAAAGTAAATATTCAGAATGTTTTCTAGGCAAACCTGCTGAGCTTGACACTGCAGTGAATCCACAGATCCTTGTTGTTTTCCAGGCAGGCTAAAATTTCAGTGGCCTAACCACCCCAACCCACAAGGGCAACTTAAAGAGTGTAAACCATCTAGTAATGACAAAGGCAGACAGCAGGTGGCGCTTTGTTTCCATTCCCTTAATGGGAAACAGCCAGCTGGTTTGGGTGGTTGTAGAGAATGGGGTTCTGTGGTTATGGTTGTGGAGAACTTGGCAGAATTCAGAATGAATACTTTCCGTCTGGGCATACCAATAAGCCTCCTCCATCACTGGATCACTGGAAACCTGCAGCTGCATGAAGGCAGCAGTTTGAAGGCACATGGTACCAATGCAAACAAGTGCTCCTTACATGGATAAGGGGAAAAGAGGTGGGGAGTCAAATTACGAAGGCAGCCTTTGTGTTTGTTTGTGGGGACACAGGGAAAACCAAAATACCTGGAAGGTGATTTTGAACCAATTTCTGCATGATCAAGGATTCTCTCTTCTCTGGTTCTCTACTCAGGAGAGTTTCTAAAGGACAATAGCAGTGGAGAAGAATGAACATGGCTAAACAGCTCTTACGTTTCTGTCTCCCAAACCTCCCTGAGAAGAGGTTGGCAGGTAGGTTTAAATCAATATTCTTCAGTGGTAACATGTCCTAAGGGAATCTTCTAGTACAGAATTAAGATAATTGGTGTGTCCTCTCTCCTACAACAGGGAAGTTCAACTGCAACCATGTCCAGACTCATATTCCCCAAAAGTATTATCAAGAGACAAAGGCCTCAACAGCCTTATCCAAAGCTGAGTTCTACTAATGATGATTCTAAGATGATATGCCTAGAAAAATTCTGAGAGGAAAACTTGAAATTTGGGTTTAATTTCAGCCTCTAATTTTAAGGAGGTCCCCCTACTCCAGTGGATTTTGGGTTTAAGGAGTATAGAGTGTGATGAAAAGGGAAGAGGCTGGTAACTTAATCTTTATTGCTGATAAATATCTTTTTAAATGGTACAATTCAGCTTAGCCTTTCAATTCATACAACTGGGAATAGAAAAAAGATCTTATTCAGAGGCCGGAGTACCTGAAATGCTTGGAAAGAGGAAGAATTGAGAGGCCTAAAAGCATCAAAGGAATGAAGTCTCCGTGTCCACCATTTCAAGCAGAGGTTTTCAGTAGAAGGGACTTGGCCCTCTATCCCTTTTCAGGATTACCAAAAGAACTCTTATAGGCCATACCATTCTCTCTCTAAATTCTAGCATAGACAGCTAACATAATCTCTTCATAGGGATAAACAGGTTGGAAGGACTTAGGTCACCCACAAATAGTGAAGGCAGCCCTAAATACTGGCTACTTAAGTGACAATATTTGGCTATTTGGAAGTCAGGATCACATAGCAGTAGCAATCTCCACATACTTTTGAGGAGAGCTGTCACTTCTCCTAAATGAATCCATCTTTTTTTTGATGACTCAAATATATAGACACACACACAATTACACAAAATACTCTTACCCATTCAAACACCATTTGGCTACTGTACGTGGTAGGGCTAAGTAATGAACCTGTCAGAAAACTCTTATGTAGAAAACTTGTTAGCTCCCAGAAAGAAGCCAAGGGAGATGAATCATACATTCTCCAGAAGCCTATTGCTTAGGCTTAAGAGGAGGCAGTTTCTTTCACATCTGAGGGAGTATAAAAAGCTCGTAGTATCATTGTGAAAAGCCACAAACTCCCCAAATCCTATCCTACCCTATCCCAGTATCCCCAAATCAACTGGGCTATTTTTAGTGACAACTTTATGGCTCAGGCTGGAAGTCACTTAGGCAGTAGGTTTTGGTTTCAAGAGGGAAAATTTGTGCATGATGATTGTGTGTACGTGTGGGGGGGGGGGGAAGAGGGAGAGAAGCTTGAGGATTTATTTCAAGATGTTCACCTGAGGACTATTCTTAACCCATGTGCTTCCCAACATAGAAAGCTGAACTTGTTTGGCCTTCCTTACATATCCATCTTCCTATGTTTGAAGTTTAGTTGCTAATGAATCTGGGTCAGTGACGGAGGTGGAAGTGGATTATACTGGAAAATTACTCCTTAGTTCAAACAGGCAACAAGAAAGGTCCTCCTGCTACCCTGGGAGTGAGACCCCACTCTGTCATTCTGTCACCGAGCTGAATTTTCTTTGGGCTGGTGGTCACATCTTCATACTGTTTCTCCTGGTTTCTGATGCTGCCATTAAAAAAGAAAAGTTTATTCTCCATTTTTTCAACTGTATTTCTGGTAAACACTGATTCTTGTCTTCTACCCTATACTCCTGTCTAATTCTGATGTCCTTGAATTAGACAGTTCCCCTGCAAACATTCCCTCCAACTCCTCTCCAGCTCTAGAAACTGGCCCTATTTGCGAAAGTTGAAGACCTCTCGTGTCTTTGGGCCCTTCTTGCCTTCAATGGCAGACTTTGGAGAAGATGCCTCCACTGTCCCACCATAGGGACAACTCTCAGATTCAGGATGGTGCCCAGTACACTCCACAGCAGGGATATAACCACTATCCCACATGCCTGTCCCACACAGTTTACAGAGGTCATGTAGACTACATGGGATCCGGGGCAAGAGGCGAAACTGATACAGCAAACTCCTCGCCTGTAGAGAAAGAGAACAAGCGATATAGGAACATGAAAGCAGAGAAAGCTGAGCAAACCCAGAGGACTAGGAGGATAATGGCTTCTCCATTCAGTACTGATGAAACTCTTGGACTGCAAGCAATCTCAGTATGGTTGTAGATATTGCTCAGGTCTTATTTTGGGACAATGGTTCTCAGGTACAGTACCTATAAATTATCTACACAAAGTAGGTTTATTATTATTAGCAATAATAATAATAATGATGATGGTTACAACTCACATTTATGTAGTGCTTTAAGGATTACAAAATGTTTTCCTCGTAACAACTCCTTGAGGCTGGTAAATGTAAGTATTATGATACCCATTTTACAGATAAGGAAGCTGAGGCTCAGAGAGACAAAGTGACTTGCTCCAGGACACAGAACTAGTGGTCAGGTCTCCTAGCACCAAGTGCTCTTTCCACTATACTATGTGGTCCCTTAAATGCAGCTTTCATTTGCAATGTAAAAGGCGAATTAAAAGCTTTTTTTTTTCATCTGGGGAACAATGAGCTAAATTGCACTTGTTGCCTCTGTCCTCACTTGGCACAACCTTTCCTCAGCACTTCCTTCTCTCTCCATTCACCAGCGATTTCTTCCTTTGGAGCTCTTTTACAAGGCTTCTTGGTACCTTATTCCACACTATGCCTTGGAACATTTGCCCATCCATGCTTCCTTATGCCACTAACAGCAGACAAGGACCCAGCACCATTGGAAACTTCCAGAGAGAACCAAATGGTGTCTCTATAGTGCCAGTCTGGGAGGAGGACCAAGAAGGGTATTATCCCCTTTATATTTTTTCTAATTTTTGACAGGCAAACATTACCTCTTGGAGTAGTGATGGGATCAGTTTGTCCAGTCTACAGTTTATAACCATCAAGAGATCTTGATGCTTATAATGCTATATTGCACCTATATTGCTTAAAGTAATAGCAAAGTTTCAACCACTTTAACTGCTGGGCCTAGAGTCATAAAGACCTAGGTTTAAATCAGCTTTAGATACTTGCTACCCATGTGGCCCTGGGCAAGTCTCTTATCCTGTTTGCCTGCCTCACTTTCCTCATCTGTAAAATGAGAATAATAGTAACCTCTACCTCCCAGGGTTGTTGTGAGGATAAAATGAGATAACTGTGAGGATAAAATGAGATCAAGCACAGTGCCTGGCACACAGTAAGTGCTATGTAAATATTAGCTATCATTATTATTATTATTATTATTTACTATTTTCTCCAGGATCATCTAAAGGTAACTTTTGGTTGTTTAGTGGCCTAACAGGGATTTAAACCCATAGTGAGTAATGAAGCAACCATACTGGTTACCAGAGTTGCCTCTGAGTTGATGACTCATAGAAGCCTTAAGAATAGAATCTCTTGGAACAAGACAGGTGGGTAGCAGAGGAGGATGAAAGTATTTTATATAGCAATTTTTGGAGCCTCACCTTCCTGAGTACAAGTTCTCCATTCATGTGCATGGCCAGATTTCCAAAGTGCAGAAGCATCTGGTCAGTGGCCAGCTGTTGTTCAATGACATCATCACCATAGATCACCACAATGGCCACGCAGATGAAGAGATGGAAGTAGTCCGTCTACAGAGGGAGGAAAGAGAAGGCTGAAGCTGGAACTGGTTTGACCCGAGCATGAGTCATTGTGGACCTTAGGGGGACATCCCAGTGGCCTCAGGTTTCTGGCTAGGGAAACAACATTCTGATGTCATGAAGAGCCTGTGTCAGTTTCAGGGTTTCTTGTAAAGAGGACTTTATTTGAAAAGGTACTACTGAAACAGCACCATACTAAAGGTTGGGTCTAAATATTGATAGGATTGAGGAAGTGAAAGAAGGGACTATCAGAGGCCACCTATTCTATTTCCCTGTATTTAACCTGACTGTACTTAACTCATGCTACACAGATGACTATTCATTTTGCTGTAATGAATCTTTATTTGTAATAATTTGTAATAATCTACCATGCAATCAAAGTCCACTATGCTCAAAAAGTTTTCCCCTATGTCCAATCTAAATCTCTGGTTGCAATTTATGTTATTTTGTTCTATCCTTAATGGAAATGGAGGGCAGAGCTTTAGGAAGTGAACTTTATCTGGCTTAACATCTTTTTCTCAAAGATCCCACTCTGAAAACATTTATCTAGTTTAACTGTCCTTAGGCTATGGGATCATTTAGAGTCAGATGGGACCCAAGAAGTCATCAAATTTAAACCCCTAATTTTACAGATCAAGAAATCAAGGTCCCAGAGACTAAGAGATTTGCCTAAGATCACATGGGTAGTAAGTGTCAGAATAAGAATTTGAAGGTCAGCCTTTGTATTCCAAATTCAGCACTTTCCCCACACCACACTGTTTCCTTGAGAAATCTTCCTTACAAAAAGGGTCTTATTTATCATCTTTGTTCCAGTTGTGTGTGAAAAGATTATAGGAAATGATCATGGCATCTTAACTATGCCATTCTTCTGCCTAAATGGATGCTTCAAGATCCCAGTTGCTTTGGTATAGACTGGTTTCCTGACCTGAAAGGAAAGGTGAAAAGGACTGCTGCTGACAGTGAACACTGAATACCAGGGTAAAACTGATGAGACAAAGTAAGCCAGGCAAGACCTCAGGCAAGAGAGGTTAAGGGTCATTCAGCTAGTTAGTATCTGGGGCAGGATGCAAGCCCAGGTTTTCCTTGTCTGGCACTCTATGCATTCATTACCTCACTGGTTATGCATGTGAATTTTTGACCAAAGTGAAGTTTCAATTTCAACTTTATGTCTGAGGACTCTAATCCAGTCTTCTCATTTTACAAGCTCTGATGGTGAAGTGTTTTGTTTAAGGTCACAAAGCAGTAACTGTCGAGGAGCCAGGATTTGAACCTAGGACTGCTGACCTCGATTGCTCTTGACCCTCTGCCTGCTCTTCTTGACTATTTGATATTTCACATTCATCTGTTTCTTCCAAGGAGGGCAGCTGATTTTGACTCAATCTGGCATACAAGCACAAGGCATAGGACTTAGGTCCACCATCTTTAATCAAAATGACAGCTGATAAAGTTCTGAATGAGTAGCTCTCCTGAAATTCTTTACTGGATTTTACTGAAATTTGATAAATAGCTAGAGGTTAAAAAGAGAAATTCTCTCTAAGTAGCTGAGTTTAGTGACGTTAGTCTAAATGGAACAGAACTCTGATGATAAATCCGATGCTGTGAAAATGTCTTTCAAAGGTGAGTAATTTCGGATGCTTCGCTGCTTTGGAATGCCTGTGTCGGTGCTCTTCTTCACGGCTGCAGAGGACCCTGCACACTGACTTGCCACAGAAAGAATGGCTGATCCAGGCAGGCCATGAAAAAAAATCCGGATGTGGGCAAAAAAAGAGTTATTAGTAAACAGCTTAAAGAAGGCATACGATAGTATTTTAGGCTTCCTCATAGTAGATATAATCTTTTTTTTGATATTAGTAAACCTAGGAAAGAGCACTGAAATGGGGGGGGTAGTTTGATAAATTTTAAAAAATTATCTGCAAGGCTGGCCTAATGCAGCAGTTCTCAAATTTGTTGGTATCAGGACCCTTTTACAGTCTTAAAAATTGTTGAGGACCACTTTCCCCCAAAGAGCTTTTGTTTATGTGGGCTAAATCAATATTTATTGTATTAGACATGAAAATGTGTTTTGCTTGACTACACATGTATAACCTATGTCAAACTGTTTGCCTTCTCAACGTGGGGGAGAGGGGAGTGAGGGAGAATTTGGAACTCAAAATTTGAAGAAAAAAGAATGTTAAACTTATTTTTTACATGTAATTGAAGGGAAAATAAAATATCAAATTAAAAATTAAATTAAAAAATGTATTGTATTGGAAATTAAAACATCTTAGTATTATTATAAAAAGTTTTGACCTCAAAGATTCCCCTGAAAGGGTCTCAGAGACTCCCAGGGGTGACCAGAATTACACTGAGAATCAATGACTTCATGTATGCTTCCAGGGATGCCTCCTCAATAGGAGGCATCCAGGTATAAAAAAGATATACCTGGATCTAGGGTCATTATTTCTTTCCAGATAAGCATTACTGGTATTTCTTACAGAGAGATGAATTTAAAGAGACTTGTCTATCGTTTAAAATCTTCACTTTGTCCCTAATTTGGTTATTTTACCAATGTGATAATGCCCAGTAGTAAGCTCTTGGGAGAATACGTTAAAGAGACACTGACAGCTCCAGAAAGTAGGCTGTAAATGACACACTGAGAAGGGAAGGGTATGGAGCCTCCATTTTCAGAAAGAGACCCAAACTTTGCCTCCTTCTTTACTGTCCAACTGTACAGAGGATGAGAATTTGGGCTCCTGGTGGCAGCTGCAATGCTTTGCCTAGATCAATGCCCCATACAATGACTGCTTGTGACAAGAGTGAACTCAGCTCTAGAATACTGTAATGAGCATAATTTGCATCAATTTCAATTGTTTGAAAGGCAAGGTCTGAAGTCAGACTGTGAGACTAGGGAAATCACCCCATGAGGAGCCTGACTTAGGTTTATAGGGTGAGGACAGCAAAGAAGGAGATTGTAATTCAGAGTGACAACGTGCTGGCTGCCCCATGCACCTCGGCATGCTATTCTAGTTTCATCTCCCATGCTCACCTGGTAATGGGCCCAGCATGCTTCCCACATACGCAGTGCCTCTGCATCTGGAAACTCTCGCTTGAAACACAGAAGGATCCAGCGGTGGCAGAAAAGCATCTGTAGGCCATCCTCCCCCAGAGAAACAAGATGCTGGTAAAAACGTAGGTGGGTCAGCCGAAGCAACTCACGAAGGTATAGCTGGAAGCAAGAGTCACCAGGATTCATAAACAGCAAAACCATCTCTGGCTCTATTTCTAGCTTGTTCTCAGAAGCCCCTGAGAGACTATACCAACCATATATTTACTCTTGCCCCTCATTCTTGAAATGTACTTATCCTTGAACTCATTTATGTGATGTGACTATCTTATTTTATATCAGTTTTCTTTGATTTCTGTATTTAGTGTGTAGGCATATCTGTCTCTGTCAGTTTCTTTTAACATCCTTTAGAGAACAGGGGCTGCCTCTGTATAATTCTCTTTGATTGGCAACTACCCCAAATTGCAAAACCGGGGGCTTAACAATTGTTTTCTGATGAGAAGAAATAGCAACACTTCTGATACAGAGTCAGCCCTCAGCCACCAAAGAAGATGACATTTTAAAACACTACTGCCAATCATTTCTTTCCTCTTAAGGTAAGGATGGCTCAACCACGAGGTAATTATCCCAATTCATTTCTGCTCTTGATCTCTAAGATCCATTATTTCAATGTCATGAATGAAGGGAGGAAGGGAATCACATCTGAGTATCTGGATTCTCTTTCCCTACGCAGGATGTCAGCTAAGAGCCTCACTGTGACGCAGGACAAGACCAAAGGCTATTTTAGGCAGCACTTGGTATTGAGCATGACTAGCCGTGGCTGCAGATTTCAAGGACTGCTCTGTAAAATCAATCTCTAGCGAGTGACTGATTACTGGGCCTGTTGAGCAGTAAGCCACGTGCTGCCAGGGGTCCTTTCATAACCTAACTGCGTCATACCAGATAATTGCCTGGTGAGGTGCTGGTTTTGTGAGGCACCTTGGAAACCTGACATCATCTCAGATGTCTAGGATGATGCAGGAAAATTGGGGGGAAAAAAAAAAACCCAAGCCCATACTAACACATATAGTAAAATGTGTCCACGGATGACAGAAGTGTGCATTTCTATTCTGTTTCTGACAGTGATGACTATAAGGTCAGGGAATCTACAGCTGGAGAAGAAAAGCTTATAAAGAATATGAGTTTAGTTGAACTGGGGGCCAGGAGAGGGAGAGACTGAAGGGACAGGGGACAATCGCCTTGGACCTACCTCTACCCCAAACCCAGCTGTACCGAATGACTCATGCTGCACTTGTTATTAGCTCATGACCCTTTCTATTTTCCCCCAGAGTATATGTATGTCAATGGCTTTCTACCACCAGACGACTAAGTTTAGGGAGTGGGGAAACAAGAAGGCAGGTCACTCTATCCAGATGTGCCTTGTATCATAGCTGTTTCTAAAGCTGTATGAGTATAGGAAGGAGAGAACAAGGGCTGTGGTGGTGGGGCTGGTGTGCTATCTACAAAGACCAGGAAGCACTATCACTTCTGACTATAACAAAGAAGGACCTTTACAGGTTATTGAGTCCATTTCTCAACTGAGGCAAAATTCTTCCATATTTGTTATCTTTGATTTAGGTTTTCTAGACCTAACCTCCCATGAATCCATAGATTAATGAGACTAATCATCAGTATGGAAAGGTTACAAAGTAATTTTCCCAGTTGCCCTGACAGATGTGAAGCCACACTATCAACAGGCTTATCTCTGACGAATAATGCAATCAAGCCCAAGGGAAAGAGCATACATGCATATGCACAAAGACACAGGTTTGAGACTCTGCAGCTTAGAGCCTCACCAGCTGTTTCTCCATATCCTCATCTCTGGGAGAACTGACAAAGATCGTGTTCTGCATCAAACCTACGAAGCACCAGAAGGTATCAGATTCATCCAGAACCTCAGCCAGGATGGGAGCCACCAGGTCTGACATGCCCTGGGAGTAGCCAATGGTTGGATTGTACACTGCATAGTTCAGCAAAATTCTCCTAGAGGACACAGTGGAATAGGTAAGAAGAGCACATCAGTTGATGGCAAGTGGTAGATTGAGCTCAAATATTGCCTTGTCTCCTTCCTGTCTTTAACTATTCAAAGCACCATTTCAGCAAGTGACATGAGGAGAGTGAGGAATAATATCGAGTCTTTGATTTCAGGTACTGAGTTTTTAGGAGCTCTCTCAAATCCAAGAGACATAGGACTTACCATCTTTCTGAATCCTTGGGATGTGGATACTACCCAGTTCAGCTGGGTGATACCATGCCACTTATGCAAGAAGTTATGGGAATTAGAAGCATAAAGAAGAACACAGACTTGATTTCATTTTTACTAACTATAGACCACTTGGGAAAAGGGCAGGCTGGTAGAAATTTTTATGGGCTGGTAATTTTGTCTACTTATCTGCAAGGCTGAACTATAAGTCAAGTATGGTGATCTATTGTTATATACTGATCTATGACTGAATGGGAATATGAATGACAACACCATTCATTTGACAGATGAGGAAAGAAAGCTAGGGCATCCAGGAACTACAATTCATGGAGAAAGCTTATAAAGTGACAATTTTCTAAGCAGAAAACTGCTTTGTAGGAAGTCACTGATTTTCACTGTAAATTTTGGGGAAGGGGCATAGGGGGCTACTTAGACATAGTACTTTATAGCTCTTAAAACCTCAACTAAAATAAAGCTACCACATTCTGCTGTTTCTATAATGTTGATTTCCAAGAAAGCTACTGTGTTTGTCCTAACATCCTAGGAGGAGGTCAGCAATATTTTCTTCCACTTTCCAAATGGGGAAATCAAGGAACAAAGAAGTGATGTCACCTTTACCAACTTGCAGCCCTGAGAATGAAGCGTAGGAGTCCCGGCTTTCTGTTTGGAAATGGCAGAAAGAAGGAGGTGGATTACCTCATGCTCTCCACGTTAGGGTTGTCCTCTCCTCGGAAGAATTGATTGCTCCGGTCTGTTCGAACCACATCTTTGTCAACAGTGAACTGCACGTGGCGCCAGAATTCTCTCTGCTCTTCTGGAGTCATTGAAAGCCTCAAAAGGAAAACCTCCATCATGTTATGGCAAACACTGGGATATAACTTTATTCCATGACTTCCCTGTCTCATTAGAAAGAAGAAGCTGGTATTTCTCTATATCTCCAACTGGGATGATGGCAGTACCTGTTAAATTCCTTTTGTGTGGGAGCAGAGGTTTGGTATGGAAGTCTCCAAGGACTACACTCTCACTAACCTGGCTCCCATTTTATAGAGGATTCAGTGGTAGAGAGGTAATCTTACCTCTGGGAGGTCACATAGCTAGCTAGACTACACAACAAAATTCAGCTGCTCCTGGCTTAAGCCAATGATCCCACCCTACTCTTTAGTTGGGCTCAGCATGCCAGTGCCTAGTTAAGTCTAGGGGAAAAAGAATTCCAAAACCTTGACAAGTGAGCTAACGAGACCTGCTTTGAGGCTGAAGTGCTCAGTCTAATGACAGCACTTATCCAGCCCTATCACTCTGATTCCTATGACATCCATTTTTGAAAGACAAACCATGGTCACAAAACATATTATCAATGCTGAATTGCACCTCAGATTGCCTTTCCAGATGACCTTCTCATCTGAAAGACAAGGAAGACAGGGTGGGGTAGGGTGAACAGAGGCCTCTGCAGTTACCTTTTCTGCTGGATCTCTGAGTATTCCCTCCTCTTCTGCGCCCTCAGTGCCTCTCGTTCCTCCGATGTGGACTCATGGCTGTAATAGCGCAGCAGGAAGGGCCAGACCTCGCCCCGGATTGACACATCAATGCCGCCGAAGAAAATGGCCTGGAGGAAGCGGCAAAAGTTGGGGAGGGGGCGATAAAAGTACAGCGGCTCAAAGAACCCCCAAATCCCCAGAGATTTGTGTTTTGGTGGCTTTGGTGAGTTCTCCTGACAACTGATGCCTTGATTCAAACCTCAGCAATTTGCACATGTTTAGAAGGGGAAAGTGCTGGTCCTCTATTCCCATACGAAACACAAACCGGGCTCATTTCAATGTCAATAACCCCCCCTGGAGCAGCTCTCCGATTAATGTGTCGTTCTCATGTCATAGCCTAATCCCTGATCTTGGAAATGCTGCAGTTCATTGCAAACTTTTGTATAAAAGCGGACACAGTATCCCCCAAACTCTCTAAGTTTTTTTTTTTTAATTTAATGGGGGTTGGTTTGTTCACACAGATCTCATAGAGTATAAGGCAATCTGGAATGGAAAAGATGAGTGTAGTTTACCTTATGGATGAAAGCTGGCAGCCATACTCTCGGAGCAGAGAGGTCTTCAGTCACTTTTCTCCCTTAGTTTGTGGACAACCTTGACAGAAACTGACTAAGCTGGTTTCTAGACATTATTCTTGATAAGTGATGATACTCAGAGACCATGGCTCATCCGCTCCTCCTACTGTGCCATGACCCTCCTCCCCGCCCCAACTCCACCCCATGGAGTTCTTCACAGGCAGAACCAACAAACCACCAACTCTGGTTCCTTACCTTACGTAGCTTATATTCCTCTTCCACCTGCCCAGACTCATTCAAGTGGTTAAGCCAGGTGGAGACATCCAGCTTTTTGTACATGTTCTCTTCTGGGTGGGTCTCTGAAGAAGGCAGCTTGGGACGTCGGATGGAGAACTGCATACAAGTCTTTTCATTGGAGACCTGCTGGACAGAAGGAAAACTGGGGAAAGATAAGCATCTCAAATACTTGGCTTTTAAAGCCAGCTTTTCCCAGGATTTACAAGCCCCTGTCTTCTGAAAGGAGAAGAGATGTCTCCTGAATACAAACTCTTAAATGGCAAGTGTAATTACATTCAATTAAAATAAAAATACCTTCATCTTAAAATAGTCTTCCCCTTTCTGGTTCTCTTTTCCCTCTCCCCATCCGTTTCTCTTCCCCAACCCCCTCCCTCCCACCCTATCCTCCCCACTCCCAACCCCAGCCACAAAAACTGAATTAATGCTGCTTACAGCCCACTCTGCCAGGAGTGCCTGCAATAAATTACATATGATTGGCCACATACAAAGGGATCGCTGTTAGGCGAGCAGGGGGCTGGCCTGTCAGGTTTTCTCTAAGGGCAGTCATGATCCTAGTGCAAAACTGCAGCTGACACTTAATTCAAAAATCAAAGGTTGTTCAATGTAGGGAGGAAAAAAAAGCCATGCTACTGTAATAAGGACAAACAGCAGGAGGCTCTGTGGGAAGGAAGGGAATTTTAAAGTCATCACTGTTGCTAATAAGCACATACAGTATCTTAAACAGATAATTAAAGAGCTCTTATTACATTTGTATGTAGATTGAGCAAAATATGGCAGGATGCCTTGTCAAAACATTATTTTCAAGTATAGAGCACAGAATTTACAAAAAGAACGGGGTACATTTTTCAAAACCAAAGTTGCTGATGTATCAGCTACTTCACTAACATAAGCAGCCCAAAACCATCTCACACACACACAGACACTCTCTCTCTCTCTCTGTCTCTCTCTCTCTCTCTCGTACAGACCCTAACCCACCAAGAAATGAAAGGCTAGAGAGACTCTCCAGTGATCCAGTACACCTAAGATTACTGAATAAGAATATAGCCCTCAAGCCTGGAGAACAGCCTTCCAAGGGCTTTCTCCCTGCAGCTGGGAGAAGATGGAGAGTGCTATTGTTTTTCAAAATTCTTTGCTTCCTTGCTGGGTTACCTGGTTTTTGAGATGAGTCTCGGTACAGTGTTTCCATTGCTGAAAAACTTCTGACAGTTTATCCAGGCCACCATGGTGAAAATGGAAGATCTTGTACTGACTTTCTCGGCTAGCAACAACCAGCTGCCCACTGGTACAGGCCTCATCGCTGAAGGGCAGTAGAAAGAGGGGACAAGAAGAGACTGATGAATATGTAAACATGGGTTTTTATTTCCAAGTATAATCAGGGAGCATAGTTAACATTAGAAGCAAGAAACAGGGTCCCAGAGGAATTTGGCTAGGGGGATACAGAAACAATAACCATCTTTCCCTTTGCTGAAAAAGGGAAAATATTCTTATTGCAGGGGGTGTAAAAGCTCATGCTGCTCAGGTGACAGGGTACTATTCCTCCTTCTATTGCTCCCTTAAGAACTGCCAGTATACTTTCCTCACTTAGAAACCTTAGTCTGAAGCTCCTCCCTCATTCACAGGGGGAACTGGGAAAACTGTCAGATTTACAGCATGGGGAAGGGAATCTTGCACCCAAGAAAGAAGCTGATGATAGCATCAATCCAAACAAAGATGATCTCTAAGAGAGCTTCCATTAAGGCAGAGAGAACAATTCATTGGAGAGATGCTTGAGTAGATACCCCCTCTATAGCTTCTGGGAGAACCCTCTAGGGAGACATACATCAGTGACTTATCAGACCAACCTTCACTATCCCTAAGATGTAGTTTACTGGCTTTTGACTTTGAAAATTCATTATTAGTAAGATCGCCTGTTTATTCCAACTGCAGGTGTTTCTTGGTGATATATTACTCAGAAGCCTTTGTCCACCTTGATTTAAACATGCAAAGAAAGAATACCACTATGATTGTTAGAAAACCATAGACTAGTGCCACCCAAATGGGAAAAAAGGAACCCTGATAAAGGGTCCTCAGTCTTATTGTGGGAAATGGGGCTTCTAACACTGCAGATTAAACTGTAACAGATAACCCTAATGTGAAAAATAAGAATTGAACTTCAGTCTTTTATCTGCAGCAGTTTTCCTCCTCAAAGCTGCAGTCTAAGGAACATACAACTGCCATCATTCACTAAAGGCATAAGTTAGTTTAGCAGCTAAACTCAACCAGATAGCAACCCTGACAATATGAGTGAAAGAGGGAAACAAACATTTAGAAATGCTGGCATCAGCATGACCAGCCAGGAATATGCACCCAGAGCATAAAACTTGAGCATACGCCATAGAGGACAGCCAGTTAATCCAATAGCCACAAAAAGGGCACTTCAAGCCTGTCTCTGTGTAGCTTGGACAAGCCTCAAGGCTCCTAAGTTCTGGGAGGAGACTGAGAGATCTACTTTACCTAAAGAAAAGGCGGAGAGACCTCATTTGTCCCAAGTCAACCCGAAACACTCCGCAGATCTGTTCAAGGGCAAACACCTTTTGCTGGTCATCCCATTTAGAGTTCTGCAGTTGGCCACTGTTCTCAGGGAACTGAAGGTTGGTGTCAAGGCTGGAGGTGGAGCTGGTGGAACAGGTCATGTGATTGTCACATGTCTCTCTGCACATGCCAGGATCCACATGGGGAGAGAGGAGGGAAATGTTAAGTCAATTCTGGTCACTTCAAAACATAGTAGAACTCTATTACAGAGCAGAAGCCTGAGTTGAATGTTATTTTAGTTCAAATAAAAAATACTTTAATACTGACATTTTATACAGGTTGAATTAAAAAAAAAAACAACAAAAACCCTAATAATATAGCCTTATATTTGATACAATCTGGTTCACTTGTTTAAAAAAAAAATTTTGTTTTGGTTTATAGTTCTGGAAAAAAAAGTTTCTAGCAATAACAAGAATGGTAACAGCAACAACTCACTTTGCAATTACATACAGCTTTACATCCATATATGTGACCTCTATAACAATTCTATGAGGCAAGTAGTTCAACTACCTCCATTTTAGACAGGTTTCTTCATTATTCCATCCTGGATATATATACCAAAGATCAACTCTTGACTTCTAGAAACATGGCAACGACATGACCGCATAAGCCTGATCTGATATGGTTAACTTTCCAAAAGGTTTAAGTCAGTTGTCTTGCCCTCCAATACTAACATAAAGGGGACCTACTATAAGAACTTTAACCTCCTTTACTATTTTAAAAACAGAAATAAAACACTAAGCTTAAGAGCTTTAAGAACTGAAAGGGAAAAATGATGCTTTGAAATCTCATAGGTGTATCTCTTTCTGAAATGGAAGCTACAAGAGGTCTATGATCTGGGAATATAAAAACACAAAAAGGGAATGATGGAATTTTCAGAAATCATCACCTTCTAAATGAACATACACCTAAGTTGACGTGGTAGGGATATCTTCTTTCCTCTCTACCTGGCTAAGCTGATCTGGGAATACACTGCAATGCAACGGCCCAAGAGTTAAGACAGCTTGGATTTTCTAGTCCTGGATCTGATATGAAGTAGTTGTAAGGTCTTGGACAAGTTACTTCACAACTCTCTGGCTCTTATCTCAGTTTCCTCATCTATAAAATGAGGAGGTTGGATTAGATGACCTCTAAGGTTCCTTCTGAATATACCATAAAATGGTGGTTCTGTGGTACTTCCACTCCTGAATATACACCTGAATTCTTGTAATAAGAAAAATAAAAAGTCCAACCCTGGTCACATAGGGCCCATGGGCCCATAACATAACATGGTGGCTCCTAAAAAGGCTGAGAGATTTGACTGTCTTCTCAAGTGAGCCCTGACTGAGCTGCACTGTGAAATTATTGTTTGCAAAACAAGGCAAGTAGCAGGTATAAAGCCAACCCCCCACTATGCCACTTTACGCGCTGTTTTATAATCTGCTTATTGAACAATGTAGGTATTCAGCTGCTGAAAAAGCACATGCTCAGCACACATAACCCAGGCTGGTCCATCGACAAGATTTCATTCAAACTCCAGCAGGCTCAGATAAGAATTATTCCTAGTGTCACCAAAGGCTTTAAGGTACTATCATCTTCCTCATCATTATTAACAGTCATTACGCTATGCTTTAAAAAGCACTTTTCTTGTCAAGAGATCCAAAATTCATAATACTCTTTCTTCTGCTCACCCTGAGAGGAAGGTAGAGGTGTCCAGAAAAGAGGAAAGTATATCATTTGGATGAAAGGCAAATAGAATTCCCTCTATACTGTTGCTTAGGGCTGAAAGACTTCTCCATGTCAAGAAGAAGCACAGAGTAGAAATGGATTACCAACCAAGGTCAACAAATGGTTTTCTATGCAGAATTATATTTATACTTTGTTAGAACTTCTAAAACAAGCCTAACTGGCTCACTTAACAATTGTTTGCTGAGCACCTGCCATGTGTAAGACTCTAAGGTATTTACAGGATACCTTTATTCTGCTTCTGACTCATAAAAGTTTAAGTCAAGGGGAGGTGGCCTTGTGGTCTATTATGAGGTATTCTGATATATTCATCACCTCAATCTGCTTGTGATTATTATGTAAAACTAGAAAATTTAGAAAAATGGGGAAAAATGTTCCCCTCTCTCCCCATTTCCCATCCCCTTCTCCCTTAGGAAAACTGAAATAATGAAGTCATGGGAACTTTATAAAGAAAGAAAACAATTTTGTTAGTGAACACCACAAAACAAAAACTACATTAAATATAACTTCATTTAAAAAAACTTGACATATGAATAAGTACAACTTACCTGGCCAATAATTACAAATACATTGCTACTTGAACTGACTTAAAATTTTTTAAGGAACTTCATATTTCAGTTTTTGCTATTTTATAAGAAGTAGGCAGATTTATAAGAAATAGTCTCAAAAACTGTGGAAATTAAAATAATAAAACAAAGATCTTAAAAAAAATTTAATGTCTAATGAATGGTCAAATAGTCACTTTTGGAAAGGGAGGTGAGAGGGGGAAAGAAAAATGCTTTAAATAAGGGATCTTATTTAAGTCACAGGGCCTAGAGGTCCTAGGTTCCAAATCCCTTCAATTCTAAGACCTCTAGCCTTGCTCTTATTTCTTTCTGTCCTGAGATTTCTTAATAGGTAGGCCAATAACCTACTTCTTTTAAAAAATCACTTTTGCTGATACACTGTTATTACATGTATTACATTCATTTAAAAATATATCCCTCCTCCCTCCCAAGTGAATGATCCCTTTGTAAGAAAGATGAAAAAATAAAGGAAAAAAAGGTAGTTCAGCAAGACCAACACAACAATCAATCAATCAATGAACAAGCATTTATTAAGTGCTTACCATATTACAAGGCATTGTGCAAAACACTGGAGATGCAAAAAAAAAGAAAAAGAAGAAAGCAAAAGCCTTTGCCCTCAAAAAACTTATTCCAAAGGGGAAGACAATACATACATAAGTTGATACACACAAGATACACAGAGTAAATGGAGTTAGTTACATTAGAAAAGAAGGTAATTGGAGATGAGGAAAGGGGGATGGGGGAGGACCAGAAGAGAAGCAAGAAGGGGTCTCTGGGGGCAGCTAAGTGGCACAGTGGATAGAACACTGGCTCTGGAGTCAGGAGGACCTGATTTCAACTCCAGCCTCAGACGCATAACACTCACTAGCTGTGTGACTGTGGGCAAGTCACTTAACCCCAACTGCCTCAAAATAAAAAAGGGGGGGGTGGATCTCTGTAAAAGGTGATATTTGAACTGAATCTCAAAGGATGCCGGGGATTCTAAGAGGTGGAGGTAAGGAGAGAAAGCAACAGAGCAAGTCACTGGAAGATGTGGAGGCTGTGTGTAAGAAACAGAAAGCAGACCAGTATGTCTGGATTGTAGAGTGCTTGGAGGCAGGGTAGCATGTAAGAAGATGAAAAGATAGAAAGAAACCAAATTATGAATGGTTTTAAATGTCAAACAAGCTTATATTTAATCCTAGAGTTAATAAGGTGCCAGTAGAGTTTATTGAGGGGATGAGGAGAATGACATATACTTTAGAAAAATCACTTTAATAGCTGGATGGAGGATATAATGGAATAGGGAGGGAACTGAGGCAGGAAGATAAATGATGGAGAGAGGGAATATATTGGCACTGAATGGAAGATTCAGAAACTGATGGGATATGTAGGATGAGTGAAAAAGAAAGGGCAAGAAGTAAATCTGCGTGACTAGAAGGTTGGTAGTACTCCTACCATGTCTGACAGTATATAAACAATATTCTACATCCATAGCCCTTCACTTCTGAAATGAAAAGAGAGCTTTTTCTCATCTTTTCTCCAGAACAAAGTGTAGTTATCAAAATTTCAGTTTTTTTTACTTGTTTGGTTTACCTTGCTAAGAGTGTGAATACTGTTTTCCTGGTTCTATTTATATTATGCCATATGTATGAATCCTCCATATTTGCTTTTTCTTATAGTACATCAATTACAATATCATAAAATTTGAGATTTGTAGGGGCCCTCACTGCCACCTAGTCCAATTCCTACCCAGAAGTAATTCCTGGTATAATTTACCTGACCAGGAGTCTGCTTGATGACTTCAGGGAGGTGGGGCAGAAACCACCACCTTGTGAGGGAGTTCATTTCAACTCTGGAGAGATCTAATCATTGGGAAGCTTTTCCTGACATCAAATCTAAGTTTGCCTCTCTGCAAATTATAACAATTGTACCACAACTTATTATTTAGCCATTCACTGACTGATGGACATCTACTTTGTTTCTAGTTCTTTGCTACCAGAAAAAAAAGTGCTATTATAAATATCTGGTGTATGTGGGACTTTTATTTTATTGACTTCTCTAGGGATATACATGTAACAGTGGAATGTCTAGGTTTCGACTCATGAACGTGGACATTTTAATCACTCTCTTTGTCAATCAGTGAGGAAACATTTATTAAGTAACTACTATGTGACAGATACTGGAATACAAAGAAAGAAAAAAAGACAGTTCCTGTCCTCCCAACTGCTTTCCAGGAAGGCTGGACCAATTCACAGCTAGCTCTCTTGAAACAATGCATTAGTGTGCCCATCTTTCAATCTCTCTAACATATGACTATTTGCATCTTTGCCAATTTGCTTGGTATGTGGTAAAATCTCAGAACTGTATGGATTTGACATTCTCTTACTAGTGATTTGGAACACTCACATACTTGTTAATGATTCACATTTCTTATCTACTGACAATGGATTTTGGTTTATTTCTGCAAGTTGCCTACTTCTCAGATAACAAACCCTTAGAAATACGATATAAATTTTTTTCCCTGTTGATCACTTCTTTTAACTTAAAATACCAAAAAAGGACAATTTCATATACACATAAGACAAAAACTGCAAATCTATTTCATATACTTTAAAAAGCATATTATTTCGCATATTATTTTCAAAATATTTACAAAATTTCAAAATTCAAAAATAATTTTTCAAAATTCAAAAATTTATATATTATTTCAAAACATTTGTCTGTGCTCCCTTCTGACCTTCCTTCTGTTCTTTTCTATGTATTGTAAAAAATGTTTAATGGCTCTCTTTTTTCTGTCAGTACTTGATACCTACATCCCCACCCCAATAAAAAGCTGAGAGAAGGGCG